CCCTTTTAGGGCAGGGACTATTTCTTTTCCATCGTTACTTCCTTGGCTCTAACGAGAAAGTGCTTAATATATGAATTCCCATGTGAAGGCACAGTTGGAAAGTAATGAAGGTCATGTCCCTTGAAAAGGAAGTAACTGTTGGTGAGCTATAATCACCTCCTCTCATCCCCTTCCCAAAAATGATGGCAAAGAGGAAGAGGTAAAGGCTGGGTCCAGAGCACTCTTACCACACCCTGAGAGCCAGATCACTTTCACCATATATTTTAGAAAAGGCTATTTCTTACTAAATTCTAAAGCTCTGAAGTATTCATTTTACCACTTTGTCCTTTTTCTGAAGAGGAAAGAACACTTACAAAAGTCTTGTTTGTAATTAAAAAAAAAAAAAATCTGATGAAAATAGCAGTGTTGCCATGAAAAGACATGGAGGGGCTTCAAAGGTATGTCACTAAGTGAAAGAAGCCAGTCTGGAAAGGCTACATACTTACTATATGATTCCAATTATGTGACATTCTGGAAAAGGCCAAACTAGGGAAGCAGTAAAGTGATCAGTGGTTGCTGGGCTGGGGGTCAGGGAGGGGGTAGAATAGTCAGAGTATAGAGGAATTTTAGGGCAGTGAAAATACTCTGTATAATACAATAGTGGTGGATACACGTTATACATTTGTCCAAACCATTAGAACGTACAACACCAAGAGTGACTGAATTGTCAACTCTGGACTCTGGGTGATTACCATGTATCAGTGTAGGTTCACTGATTATAACAAATGCACCACTCTGGTACCGGATGTTGATAAGGGGGAGGCTATGCATGTGTGGGAGTAGGGGTTATATAGGAAATCTCTGTCTTTCCTCCTTAATTTTGTTGTGAACCTACAACTGCTCTAAAAAAAGTTTTAATTAAAAAAACTAGGAGTGTTAATTCTTCTAAAGACTATTTTATGTCCCTTTAACATTATTATTTTGGTTCAAGTTAATTTTAAAGAACTTGTTTTAAAAGTTACTTTTTAAGAATTTTCTATGTGAATATAGCCTCCAAGCAGTACCATCAACACAGGCCATGTGAACTGGCTTCTTGTCCTGTCCCCTGGAAGGACTGAGTCACAGAGGGTTCTAGTGACTGGTTCAGGTCACTGTTAGTCAGGGTCAGGCCTTGGAGTGGATGAATATTTCTGACCACACTCACACAATCATAAATACTAGGATCTTTCAAAGCTTTTCTGGACAATTTTCATATTTCTCTCTTCCAAATTTACCTGAAACCTTATATGTTCCTGATAAGTGGTTCTAAAACAACTTGTTGGTATCAGGACACTTTTCTTTTAAAGACTAGAGGACTTCAAAAGACTAAAGGCAAATATAAGCTTTGCCAAGTTAGCTTTCCTTTACAGAAAATGCCTGCTTCAACACATAATACTATCCTGACACTGTTTTACCTACTCTTCTTTACCCATAATTTGTATGATGCATATTATGTGAGAAAGTAAACAAATCCTAAAATCCTTAACTTCTGTCTCAATTAGTGTCCTTGAGTTCTTCTCTTCATGTCTTAAGCCAGCTCGGAAGGTGGATGGGTTTCTCTCCGTACATTCACAGATGCAACAGTTGCACTGCTTTTCACAAGTGATTTCTTTCCCAACATCTTATAAAATAAACAGGCAGGGAAGACATTATTTTCTATATCAAAATGGAGCTGAGGGCTTCCCTGGTGGCGCAGTGGTTGACAGTCCGCCTACTGATGCAGGGAACACGGGTTCGTGCCCCGGTCTGGGAAGATCCCACAGGCCGCGGAGCGGCTGGGCCCGTGAGCCGTGGCTGCTGAGCCTGCGTGTCCAGAGCCTGTGGTCTGCAATGGGAGAGGCCACAACAGTGAGAAGTTCGCGTACCGCAAAAAAAAAAAAAAAAAGGAGCTGAGAGAAACATGGACCTATTCATGTATCTTCCATTCATGCTCAGGAGGCAGACATTTTAGTGGAAAAGCAGATGCAGATGTCTGCATACCCCTCCCCTGACAAGGTGGTTAGATTAGTCACAGCCACTCTAAGCCTCAGAGTCCTCAACAGTTAACTGAGGAGATGAAACCCTTACTTTATTTAGATTGATTTTCTCATGCATCATTATAACCTATAGTTTGATGGCTCATATTTGATATTCCTAAGAGTCTCCGAACAGACTGGCAACAGATTCAAACACAATTGTAAAACGAATGGTTGAAAAAATATATATATATTAATGGGAGGAAAGAAAGGTAGAAACCATGAGATACAATGACAATAAAGCAATGGTGTATATAAGAGGGTTTCTTACTCGGGGTGTAGGATGACTTCAGGTGGTCCATGACCACCTGATGCTATATGGAAAATTCTATATGTATGCACCTGTGTGTATTTTTCTAAGAAGTTCATTCTTCGGGTCTTCAAAAGGGTCTGAAACCTTTCCTTCTCCCCCAAACTGAAGCTGAGGGTGGTTTCTCTCTGAATTCTTTAGTGAGCTGGCTAAACGTTGCTTTGTATCATGAAGACATTTCATGTATTGTTTATGTTTAAATTTGCATTCCTCAGCCCATTTAAAAGCTTGACTGAAAACTATTGAGAATTCATTCAAATGGCTTCTCTCGGAAGCATTCATTATGCTCTGTGTTCGCTAATTTTTTCTACCTTAATTTATGCTGATTTTATATATATGATTAACATTCTCCGGACACCAAACTCCTAATTAAATATGCTGAAGTGATTTAGGATTTGGGATTATATTGTAATTATTTGTAGCCAACAGAATTAGTTATCATCTACAAGATTTGTCTAGCTGTTTCCATTGCTAATGAAAGGAGAGGGTCTCCCTCAACTTGGGCAGTTCTGCCTTAACTCTGGCTCTAACTGGTCAGAACCATAAGGTGACCTCAGGAACATCAGCCCTACTTGAGAAGCTTGCAAAGTCACCTCTGAGTTTTTGTTTTATTTTGCCTTCTAATACCCTTCTTGGCAGTCTTGATCCTTAGTGTTTTCTTGTTTTTTCTAGAATAATCTAGACGTTTTAAAGCACCCTATTATTGACATTATTATATTAATTTTATAAGCATGTTTCAAAGTAAACAAATGTAGTGTTTTTAATAATAAAAATATTATATATTTAAATGTGAAATCTTTGGTAAGCCTTTGAAAATACTGTAGCTTAAAGATAATTTCCAGGGACTTCCCTGGTATTCCAGTGGTTGAGAATCCATCTTGCAATGCAGGGGATGCTTGTTCAATCCCTGGTTGCGGAACTAAGGTCCCACATGCAGCGGGGCAGCTAAGCCTTTGTGCCGCAACTACTGAGCTCATGTGCTCTGTAGTCTGTGCACCACAACTAGAGAGAAGCACACGTACCGCAACTAAGACCCCACGCAGCCAAAAAAATAATAAATAAATAAATATTTAAAATAAATAAATTTTTTTAAAGAAAAAGATAATTTCCAAAATGGGGGGGGGAATGAGGAGAAGGATATGAAGTGTTGATTATACAAGATGAATAAGTCCTAGAAATCTACTGTAGAGCATAAAGCCTATAGTTTACACACACACACACACACACACACACACACACACACACACACACACACACACACACACACACACACACACACACACACACACACACACACAGTAATAACAGAGGGCAGGAAGAAACCTTTGGAGGTGATGGATGGGTTTATGGCATAGATTGTGTTGATTTCCCAGGTGTATACCTATCTCTAAACTCATCAAGTTGTATACATTAAATATGTACAGCTTTTTGCATGTCAATCATACCTCATAAAGTGGTTAAAAAAAAGAGATAATTTCCATTTGTAGAGTGCTTCACAGTTCTTAACACATTCTCTCATGTACTGCCTTATTTATTTCTCCAAACAACTCAGCAAAGCAGGCGTTACCATCAAGTTTTACAAATAAGGAATCAGGCTCAGAGGCTTTCAGCCCCAAGTCACCTACCTATTCCTGGCAGAGGTCAAAGTCAGGACTTTTGAACCTAGGATGACCTCACCACATACCATGTCTCTTGAATTTTTTCTTAAGCTCCATTAAAGACAAACCTCAAATATATATACTCTCACATTAATAGATACTGGTAAGTAGAATAGAATAAAATTCTCTAGAACAAGGTTTAGGGTATTATTATTATTTTTGGCCATGGATCCTTGGACAGTTTGGTGATATCCTTCTCCAGATAATATTTATAAATATGTAGAATGAGGGACTTCCCTGGTGACGCAGTGGCTGGGAATCCGCCTGCCAATGTAGGTGACACGGGTTTGAGCCCTGGTCTGGGAAGATCCCACATGCCGCAGAGCAACTAAGCCCGTGAGACACAACTGCTGAGCCCACGTGCCACAACTACTGAAGCCCATGCGCCTAGAGCCGGGGCTCCGCAACAAGAGAAGCCACTGCAATAAGAAGCCCGCTCACAGCAACAAAGAGTAGCCCCCACTTGCCGCAGCCAAAGAAAGCCCACGCGCAGCAACGAAGACCCAAGGCAGCCAAAAAATAAATAAATAAATACGTTGAACGAAAATACATAGTATTACAAAGGAAACCAAATATTTTAAAATATAGCTATTAAGATATTTTAAAATGTAATAACGTGATTCTTTATTAAGACATTAAATATCAAGGATGAGTGCAATATATAGTATAATTTTGAAATAGTGAAAACATAAATGATATCTCAATGTATCTGCAAGAACTGTATGAGGATATGAAAACACTGAATTTCTCTTGGTGACAAAGTACTAACCGCCGTGATTTGTTGCCTACATTCATAATGAAAGGAAATGCTACATTTTACTTAGAGAATACTGAAAATAGAGGTGTAATATTTTTTCCTCGTCCAAGTTCATGGACCCCTGAAGTCTGGACCCTGGGCCTAAGAACCCGCCCTGGACTCCCAAGCCCCTGGTCCATGCTTCCAGTGGGCAGCATCAATCCCTTTTTTCCTTTTTAAACGACGAGAAGAGCGGCGCTTACCTTCCAGGGTCTCACACTGGACCAGGTTGATGTAGTCCCGCTGGGTCAGGAGGCCGGCTTTGCATCCTCGCACCAGGCCCTCCAGGTAGCCGTGGTCCGCGTTGAAGTACAGCTCGGCGCCCTCAAGCATGGGGGAAGCGGTCGCGGCCGAGAGAAGCTGAAACAGCTCAGCGTCCCGGGCAGACCCCGAGGACGTGCACCAGTCTGGAAAGAGTGCTAGCAGTTCGCCGGAGTTACCGGGAAGCGACCTCTCAGCTGATAGTCGGGGTTTAGTGACTAGTTTCCTCCGCTTTCAGTGGCTTTCAATATAGCCTGCCCAGCCCTGTTTTTACATCAACAGTGAATCAGCTAGATAACCCGAGTGCACACGGGAGCAAACCCTTGCTGGGAGAGGAGGGTCGTGAGAAGGTGGGGTCAGGGCTCTTTCCC